GGGGAAGGGGCTTATTGGGATGCGCAATACTCTGACAAAGCCAGGGCAGCGCCACCTAAGAATGGCTGCTGTGATACCCAGAGCCAGGCTCTATCCGAGAAGTCCTGGTGGAGAAACACAAGGTCAGCAGTTTGAAACCACCGGCCACTCTGCGGGAGGATGGCGAGGCTGTCCACGGCATCAAGAGTGACAGCTTCAGAAACCCAGGGGGACAGCTCCCCTCTGCCCCACAGGGCTGCGGGGTCAGAATCGTCCGACGGAGGCGTGCGTGCTTCTGCGCGGTATCAGAGATGGGTCTCTCGCCAGAACGTCCGAGTCAAGTACCGTTCGATCACTTACTCACTGGGCTACTAACCAGAGCCAAGTCTCTCAGAATCCCTCCGTGCAGCGAGCGCGGAATTTGATTTTTGGAAATCTTGATGAGACCCAACAGCCTCATCTTCCTCCCGAGGAACGTCTGGTGGGTTTGAACCGTCAACCCTGTGGTTAGCAGCCCAAAGCTTACCGATCTCTGCTGCTCCCCCAAGCACAGCTCCACACAGGTCTGAGACCAGCAGCCCAGGGGTACCGCCAGCGGACCCCTGTCTGCACCCACCCAGACGGCCGCCACCCTCTGGGTCCCCGCACTGGGTGCTCTGCCCTCCTCAGAGGCAAAGGCAGGCCGGGAGAGAACTGCCTGTCACGATTCGTGTGCTGAGAAACCGATTTCTGTAGACGGGTTTGCTTGCTTAAAGTGCTCTAAAAGAAGACAAAGAAAAAGGGGCTGTTCTACATGCTGTGAAGCCAGAGCTTATTCCAACGGGGCCGGTCTCCCTCACTCACGCCCAGTCTGGCCTGTGTCTGCAGTGTGGCAGTCTCCTGCAACAGTGGAAGGCAGGTGTCGGTGTGTTTATTTTTTTTTTAAGCTTCAGGAAAGGATTCAGAAGCTAAAATCCAGCTTAAAACAAACAAAAAAGAGTTGTGAAAGGGGAAAAAGGAGGAAGAGGAGGGAGGAGGAAGGGGAAGGGGAGGGGAGACAGGAAAAACAAACGAAGCCCTGCTAGCAGAGAGTCCCACCCCACACCCACTGATGCTGCTCTGGAAGAATTAAGTCCAGAGAGCCCCTTAAAGTAAGGTGACCAGATATAAAGTGGGACACCATTGACCAGAGATGGGTGTGGGACCAAAAATTTGGTCTATATGGACCAAATAGACCATTCCCTAGCTTTTCGTGCATGCTTTCCAAAAATCGGGGCTGTCCCGCCAAAAGCAGGACGTCTGGTCACCTTACCTTAGAGGGAAGGATGGGGAGACTTTGTCTCACGTACGTTGGACATGCTGTCAGGGGAGACCGGTCCCTGCAGGACACCGTGCTTGGTAAAGTGGAGGGGCAGCGAACACGAGGAAGGCCTCTGAGGAGACGGGCACTGAGGCTGTCACGAGGGGCTCCGACTTCAGAACAGCCGAGAGGATGATGATTTGTTCCACTGTACACCGGTCGCTACGCGTCAGAACCCATGCAACTAGACACCAATACCACCGACAGGCCACCCCTTACCCTGTGTAGAGGAGGCAGCATTCCCTAGCACCTGTGGAAGGGCCACCTCATCAGCAGAGCCACAGCTGGGGGGG